TGGCGTTGAAGTGTTTTTGCTAGGGTTTTGTTTTACAGTGGCACACTCGTCTCGATTAGGGCTTTAATCGCCCGAAGGCCCATTATAACATAAAGCCCATGTAAATCAATGCGATTGTATGTCAAAAGTTTAATGCTTTTTACATGCTATGTAGTTTAATTTTGAATTCAGATAATGCACTTTTTCGAGATTATTGATGCAAAATGTATTAGTAACCCACGCCAAGTGTGAGATTAAAATTTTAAATATATTTTCTAATCGATCTTAATATTTAGACGTGTATTTTAATATTTCTAAACGTACAAAATGATATGTATTGTACATAAATGTAATAAAATTAAATTTTACTAAACGTATTTCAATGTCTGATCAATTTTGCATAAAAATATTAAAACTAATGCAAATGCTATTTATGTCAATTTATTTGAAGTGTCAAATTGAGTTTTATTATTTGTGTAAAATTATAGAGTATGCGATAAATCAAATAAATTTTAGATTTATATAAATTTGTCGGACGTAACAAACAAAAAATATATATTTTTTAATAATAAAATGTAAAAATATCATAAGTATAGTTATCAACTACAAATAAATAATATTATTAGAATATAATAATAAAAAGTTTTTTAATATATCATTTAAAAAATAGATGATATATTAAGTCTAAATATTACATTTAGTTAAACTTAATTCTGTAAAATTTATATTAATGGGTTATGTTATAAAATTAATAAAAACATATAGAGATTTCCCCCATGGCATACAGTTTTAATTAAAATGTTTTCATTAGTTAATTTAATTGACATATTCTTTAAAACCCTTATTGAATAATACATATGATTTTTTCACCAGTTGTCTATTCAATTAATATAGAGGATTAGTGACTTTTTAAAGAAAATTTCAAAATGATGACATTTTTGAAAAGTGATATTTTTAAAAAATTCACTATATTTTGTCTAAATATCATGCAAATTAAATATTGTAAGATAAAATATATTTAGCAATATATGTATCTATACTAGAGATATATCTTTATTATTTTTAATTTCTTCCGTATATTAAAAAAATCATGAATTTTTTTTTAATATCCTAACGCATGTCAAAAAAATCTAAAAGTCATTGAAAAAAAAATATTCTCACATATACTTTATATTCTTTAAATAAAATCTTCCATATTAATTATCACATATTCCTTGCATATTTGTTTAATAGTTATATATTGTATATATGATATAAATTTAGTCTAATTATTTACACAATAATGTCATTAAGAAGTTTTAATAGCTTTCATTAAAAGTTTCTTAAAATCTTCTTTGGTTGATACCTAGGATTTTCATCTAGTGTCTCCTCTATTAATATATCGAGGATTACGGAGAAAGTTATCCATTATGGATATTATGCATGTAGAATCGTACGTTGTAAATTCTTCTACTGTGGGTAAAAATTGTGTTTGTGGAATTTTTCATTGTGATTGCATGGTACTATTTTTGTAATAAAATGTATAGGGTGATGTAATGAATCTCTTTTATATAAAAAAGAAAGATTTTGAGGTTTTTTAAAGCGTCCACGTGAGCAAAAATATTAGGGAATATAATCAACCTATAGAATTACAGTTTTCAGCCATGTCATGTTTCATCAATGTCATATCTCATCACTGGATGGTTGAACACAATGAAACCCATTGGAAACAAGCCCAATTACACAATCCAAAGGCCCAAAACCATATACATCGTGTCAAAATCGTCTCATTTTCCTTCTTTTCCAATTTGTTATCTATCGTCACCACCACAAAACCTCGCCTCCTCCGATTCTCAGATCACCGTGATCTAATTCTCTTCATATACTTCGCATCCCTTCACCTTCTCTCACTCTCAACTCCCACTACGCCCGAATTCAAGATTGAAGCACTAATGGCTCCACAAAAGGCACGACCACTCCATCTTCTATATATACTATCCGATTCAGGTACAACACATCCCTCACACATTCTTACTCTCCCACATCTCCTAACACAACTATGGCGTCGACAAATTTGAATGCTCTCCCACAAATCCAACGTCATTTGTACTTCAATGACGTTCAATCTGGGTTATGCAAAGAGGAATTGGTGTTCAGGCTCATTCACTTCTGGAAGGCAAGGAATCCAACCAAAGGCGGCATACTCATCGGCCTCGAGTTACTCTTCATCGATGAACAAGTTTTTCCACTCTTAATTACATGTTTTCCTGCCATGACAATAACAAAAAACGCTCACTAACTTATGTCTCACATCTCCAGGGAAATGTAATTTAAGCTTTCATAGCTCCAAATCGATTAGCCGGTACGAGTTACTCCTTAACTGTAACTCCATCTACCGACTCACCAATTTCTACGCTACCAACAACAACGTCCTGTTCAGAGTTACAGAACACAAGCTCACCCACAAATTTGAAATCAATGTGAGCGATTACGTCTTCTGTGCTAAAAGACAGACAATCACCGTATCTAAGATTCTAGGTGAAGCATCACTTTCCCAAACCCACATCAGAGAGTCTTATTCAAGATATCGCTTAAGAAAACCAAGAACAAGATCTGCGATTTGGTGATAACAGTGCGGGTAACAAGAACCAAGACACACTAACTGCAATCAGCAAACCAAGTGATGGTAACAAACAGTTGTGAAGCCATTCTTGTGGAGACAAATCCAATTGGCTCTGCCATGAAGACGAGCACAACGGTTGCAGAGACAAGTACAAGTCAAATTCCCAAAACAGAAAGGTAACCAGTGAAAAGACCAACTCAACTGGATGTAGCAGGGACAATAAAGCTGATGCTGGAGATATAAAAACAAAATGTGAATGTTGCAACTCTTAGTCAATTTTGCCTCCACATCTTAGAAGGAGGAATCAAGTTTTAATTTGCATTTTTCAAGTCCAATTTCCTTCCATTATGTTAATCTTAAACTTTTTTTTATATAATGTTTCGTTACCCAATTTTGAAAACAGGAATTCGGAACGAGAAATCTGGAAATGGAAACGGGACAAGAATAAGAGCGGTATAGAATAAGACAGGAACGAAACGAGAATTCTCGGAAATAAACAAACGAAAATTGTAAAATCTAAATCACGTCCATCACATTTCTGAGAAAAGCAAAAATCTATTTTACAACAAAAATTAAAAAAATTCATATATAACAAATATATCCTTATATAAGTAACTATATTTCGGAAAGAGAACTTGAGAGAATGGGATACGACCAAGGTGGATCATATTCTCAATGGAGAGGATGTTGAGATTGTTAAGAAGCTGTTTCTGTCAAATTATGTTGATCA